ATTTTTTCTTTTGTGGTTACATTAGATTTTCTGGTTTTACACTTTGTCTTGCTTAATTTTGTGCTTGTACTGATTTTGGATTAAAAAGGAATCAATTGAATTCAAAAGAGGCTGACATATGTCCAAGTGTGGTTTTGCAAAATGTAGGATGAAATCAGTGGAGGCAGCAGCATTCTTGCAGCATTCTGTGCAGCATTCTGGGTGTAGCTGGCAAGTGATGATATCAACACATTATGTGGAGAAAAAGGACAAAAGCCAATGTGAACTAAGTGAGTTGTACAGTAGTGTGGACCACTGCATGCCTCATCAAGTGATAGCTCAACCCTTTTGTTGCCCTAGGAAGGAAATATTTTGCTGCAAGGAGTAAGCAGTCACTGAGGGTAAGAGAAAGAAAATACAAAGAGAAAAGGATATGACCACACACTACACACCTCATATATCATCAAGAAAAAATAGTACACAGTACGCCCTCTCCAAAAAAATGCACAGTACATTACCAAGAGAGGAAAAACAAGTACTAGCAACGTAAGGAATAGAAGAAAAAATCAAAGGAGAAAGCTGTAGATAGTGAATCCATGGAGAAGGACAAGGAAGAATCTATAAGATCCAAGATCCAGCTCTTTAATTTTCCCTCTCTCTATTAGCTTGAATCTTTTGTTATTTTTGATATTGATTAAGACATGGATATTACTGGAAATCTGGTTATTGTAATTATCATCATGAACTAATTTGATAAGTTAGATCTACTAATGGAACCATGGTTGTAAGGATGATGGTTGCTTAAGGAATGTTAATTAATTCTATTCTCTGTTCATCTATGTGTATTTAATGTTCGTTTCTATTTTTGACTGGCCATCAAATGTAGAATACAAGACTAAGATTAATACTGAAAATGTTAGTTTTAGTTGGATCTTACATAGATGATGCAAGTTCAATACTCTTGCTTAGTTTATTGATTTGTGAGTGGTATAGGAATATATTGTTCATCTTGCATAACAAATAGAAATCTGAGATTAATTTGCATTCTGAAACTAGATCTACATAGGAATATGCTGGAGTGGTATAGGAATATGCATAATAAAATAGTTTTTGTTAACAGTGAATGCTATAGCATTCTCGTAGCATTCTGTTATCGGACTTACAACTAAGGAAAAATTAGTAGGTCTAGTTGATTTACATCACTGCATACACTTAATTTTAGTATTCTTGATCTTTTGGTTAATCTTTTTTTACAGTATATTTTACATTTTTGCATTTATAACAATTGGGTAATTTTTGAACAATCGGGTTTTTTCACTTAAAACGGGTGAACTAGTTAATTTCTGCATGTACACTTTGTGATTCATTCTCTGTGGGATGATATCCGTACTTTGTACACGTTATTACTTGATTGCGACACGTGCACTTGCAAGCATAAAAATCACGCAACAACCCACATCCAAAATGACGTATTCGTAGTAGCATCACGAACAACAACCCCTTCATCCCACAACTCTTTTAACTCATCTACAAGGGGCCTTAAGAACACATCAATATCTTTCCCAAGAGCATTGTGACTAGGAATCAATAACGTCAACATCTTATACGGGTACTTCATACATAGCCACGGGGGTAAATTATATGCAGTCACAATAATATGCCACATATTGTATGATAGACTCATATTCCCGAATAGATTGAAACCATTAGTAGCTAACCCTAATCGAACATTTCTCGATTCACGTGCAAATTGTGAATGTTTTTCATTAAACTCTTTTCACTCCGTACCATCAACTGGATGACACATTAAGTCTTTATCCCTCGAATGCCCCCCACGTGCCACGTGCTTTCCTTAGCAATGTGACGGGAAGCATATAGACACTTCAACTGATCCTTCAACGGGAAATATCGGAGTACTTTCCACGAAACTTTTTTTCCCTTTTTGCTCTTCCAACGACTTGCACTACATACTTGACAAGACTGCAAAGCAACATTATGCTTCCAAAACAAAGTGCAATCATACTTACACACATGAATTACCTCGTAGCTCAGACCCAGTTTACTTAATAACTTCTTCCCCTCGTAATGCGATGTAGGTAACTTGTTCCCTTCAGGGAGTGCATCTCTCAGTAGCTTCAACATTTCATCCATGCACTCATTAGGCCACTTGTACAACACTTTTAGATGATTAGTTTCACTAAAAAATTCAACAATGAATACTTAGTGCAACCCGGATACAATCTGACTTGGAGCTCGGATAAGAGATCTCTAAATTTATCGTAATGACTATCTTTTATAACTATTTCTGTCTCACCTATTGTCTCACGATCGTCACTAATCCTAACCGCATCATTTAGCACTACAAACATCTCATCAACAGGTTCACTGACAACTGCAACAGTAGGACGTACTTCACTATGGTGAATCCATCTGGTGTAACTTGTATCAAAACCCCATTGATGTATGTGCGCTTTCACTATTTCTGGTGGCATCATCTCATGATTTCTACACTTGATACACGGACAACTAATATCCCCGACTGAATTTGCATAATTCGTTCCAACCTCAATAAAAGCACACAAACTATCCCAGTACTCATCAGACAACCGGTTCCTTAAATGTATTCACCTCTCGTCGATAGGCATCTCCACTACGAACAATTTATAAAGTTTTATCAAATTTTATGAAAATTAACATTAGTTTATTTAAATATTTTATTAGTAATGTAAAACGACTTAAAATTTTAATATAATTTTTTTAATCATCAGATAAATTTAATACAAATTTCAATTTAATTCTACATATTTTAATTCTAGTTCTAATTTACAATTCACAATTTTAAATCTAAAACCACAAACTAAATTAAAAATTCAAAATAAAACCACAAACCACAACAAATACCAAAATCAATTTACAAAATAGTAAAATATTAACTCATAAAATTCAAACCCACAAATACTGGGGGTTGGAAAACAGAAAGGCAGTAGGGAAGGGAGAGTGCCGGCGGCCGAAAAACTGCGAGTATGGCTAGAAAAGTGGGCGGCGAGGGGGAGATGAAAACTCCACTTTTTAAGACTTTTTCTCCACAAATGAAAGATTTGAGGAGAGAACGATATTTTTAAGCTATTTTCAGTGTTTTTGGACGGTTTTTAGAGGTTTTGGACGGAGAGAATGAGAGAAAACTGAGAGGGTCACCGAAAAAAATTGTAGAACGAGTTCTGCAATCGCATTTATACATATGGCTTTTTGCGACGACATTATGTCGTCGTAAAAAATATTAAATAGTAATCACATTTAATATTAAAACGGCGTCGTTCTTCTTCACCTCACTAATATTTCTAAGAACATTCTTAAGGAATATACCCGTGCTCCTTTTTTACGACGACATTGCTAAAATGTCGTCGCAAATAATTTTAAGGAAACCGCCAAAGTTTCCGCCCTTTTTTGTAGGGAAAATTAAAATCCCAGTTATTTGCGACAACATTATTAAAAAAGTCGTCGCAAAAAACAGTCCTCCTTGATAGAATTTTCTGAAACCCTTTTTTGTGACGACACGTGTCGTCGCAAAAACAGTAATTCTGAAAAGATTTTTCTGGAACCATTTTTTGTGATGACTTTTCAATATGTTGTCACAAAAAATAAAGACTATCTGGAACCTTTGCGCGGGAAACTACCAAATTGTTTGTCTCTTTTTGGCCACATCACTGCCAGCTGTACGTCTCCATATTTGCGACGGCATGTCGTCGCAAATAATGGACAAACTCACGCCAAAGTTTTTGGCGTCATAATAGTTTTAGTGCCATTAACTATTAGCGACGACTTGTCGTTGTGAATAATTTGACACATGTTAGCGACGACATGTTGTCACAAATATTAAAATTTTGTGCAACGACATGTCATCGCTAATCCTTAATGCGACGACAAGTCGTTCAAAAAATTTGATATCTTTTTGGCGAGACATGTCATCGCTAATATTGTAATTTTAGCAATGATGTTTGTCGTCGCTAATAACCCTTTTTGTTGTAGTGAGTTTTTTATTATAATAAAACTTTAATTCAAAATTTGAATCTGTGAAATGAACGGAGCCTAAATTGTGAGTGTGGTACAATGATTGGTTGTGTGGGTTTTGTTGCCTTTTCGGTCATCGTCTTCAGTTGCATTGGTGCTCTGAAGGCCCTACATCTTAGGTGTTTTTTTCCCTTAGCGTCAAGAGGCCTCTACTAGGGCGTGTGCCCTAGATGGTTTTAGCATCGACCATGCATCGTTCTTACGTGCTAGATGGCTTGTGCCTTGTCGGTAGCACTTTTCATCACTTGCAATGTCGTTTGTCCTATTTTCCTCATGCTCGAAGGTCGTCTCATCATCAGAAGCATTATTCATGTAGCTCAAGGTTTTTTTCCCTGGTTTTAAATCTATTTTTTATTTATTTAATATGGATAATGTTGGATCTCTCTTTTGTTTGTGTGTGTATTTTTATTATGTTTCAGGGTTTACTGCAAGGTTGTTTCTTTATTGTTTGACGTAAGTTGTTTTTTTAATTTTCTATTTGAGTTTTGGGTATCAAATCTCCACACACGTTTCTTTTCGTTGAGTTATTTAAAACTAGTTTATATCTATGGTCGAGTATTCTTATATTTTGAGGTCTTTCGTGTCTAAACTAATGTTTGCATTTTTTTTTTTTTATCTTGAATGCAATTTTCCTTCTAAGAAAACCAGGATTCCAAAATTATAAAGGTTAAATTTTTTTTTTTTTTTGGCAGTAAAAAGAAACTAATTGCGCCTCATTCACTTCCACTCCTCACTACAAAGCACAAACTACAGAAACTACAAAGTACCACGTACGTTTGTCACGACTTGCTTCAAAAGGTCAACCCACCACAAGAGAAGCATGGCCGCATAATTGGGGACCCAGAAAACTTTGGGCCTTGCATTTGTGGATCACACATGGTATTCGAACTTCAACGAAGCTAAAAACCCAAATCAAAATACACACAAGAACGTGTGTGGAAAATAAGTGTGAGACATCTCACTCATTTCCACTTCACTTCCCCTCCACAAACCCAAAAAACACACAAAATGAATTGCGAATTATCCGTTCCTCTGTGGTTTCTCCTCCATTCCCCTCCTCTCATCACTAAACCCAACCTTTTCTTCTTAATCTAATAATCCTTCATAAAAACACAAATTCACACCAAGGAAGTGGAACCATGGTGGTGGTAAATCTCTCATCTTCTCCACCATCTTCTTCTTTTTCCTTATTTAGATTAACCAATTCAAAAACTCCCATTTCAACCTTCCCATTCAAGGCCAAGTTCCACTTTTCAAAACCCCTGTCTCATTCGTTTTCCCATAATCTTCATTGCAAGAAACAGTTTTTCCACGAAAAGAGCAGAAACCCACATGGAAAAAGGTTCGAGTTCAAGACTTTGGCCATCTCCGGATTCGATTTCGGCAACTTGGAGAGCGCTCAGTCGGTTCTGGAGGCCGCTGCGGTGCTGACGGCCATAATCATCGTCCATGAAAGCGGTCACTTCCTCGCTGCCTATCTCCAAGGCATCCATGTAAGTAAATTCGCAGTTGGGTTCGGTCCAATTTTAGCTAAATTCAATGCAAAGAACGTGGAATACTCCATTAGAGCGTTTCCTTTAGGTGGGTTTGTGGGGTTTCCTGATAATGACCCGGAGAGTGATATTCCCGTAGATGATAAAAACTTGTTAAAAAATAGACCCATTTTGGATAGAGCAATTGTGATTTCAGCTGGTGTAGTTGCCAACATAGTCTTCGCTTATTTGATAATATTTGTGCAAGTTTTTTCGGTTGGTTTGCCCGTACAAGAGGCCTTTCCTGGTGTACTTGTCCCAGAAGTTAGGGCCTTTTCAGCTGCTTCTAGAGATGGGATTCTCCCAGGTGATGTTATCCTCCAAGTTGATGGGAGCGAGTTGCCAAAATCAGGGCCTAATGCTGTTCTAGAGCTTGTTGATGTGATTAAGAAGAACCCCAAGAGAAATTTGGTGCTCAAGATTGAGAGGGGAAAGATGGACCTTGAAATTGGGGTAACCCCAGATGAGAATTTTGACGGGACTGGTAAAATTGGGGTTCAGTTGTCACCAAATACCAAGTTTTCTAAAGTTTTGCCAAAGAGTATATTTGAGGCTTTCAGTTATGCTGGAAGAGAGTTTTGGGGCCTCTCAACAAACGTCTTGGACAGCTTGAAACAAACTTTCTTGAACTTCTCTCAAACGGCCAGCAAGGTTTCGGGCCCGGTCGCAATTATTGCCGTTGGCGCGGAAGTTGCGAGGTCTAATACTGACGGGCTGTACCAATTTGCGGCTTTGCTTAATCTTAACCTTGCAGTGATAAACCTTCTTCCTTTGCCTGCTTTGGACGGAGGTTCCTTGGCTTTGATTCTCATAGAGGCTGCTAGAGGTGGGAGAAAACTTCCTTTAGAGATAGAGCAGAGAATTATGTCGTCCGGGATAATGGTTGTTGTGCTTTTAGGACTCTTCCTTATTGTTAAGGACACCCTCAACCTAGATTTTATCAAAGAAATGTTGTGAAAGATTTGCACAAGCTGTCTGAAGTTTGAACCAATTTGGTTTTGGTGGAAACTGTCTAATGAAGTTGAAAAAGGCCAAACCAAGAGCTTTATTGAAGCTTGACTGAAATGGTTGATTTCTGCCAAGATGTTAGATGGGAGGTACTTTTGGGGTTCTCACAGTCACAGCTCTATTTGTTCTATCCAATGTGATTCTTATTCATAGTCCTGTAAAGTATAATATTTTTTCCTCCACTCTATTGATGAATTGGAAAGAGGCATGGGTTTATGAACTCCAGTTTCTTTTTGGTCTCCTTGGGAGAATTCATGGAAATTACACTTACACTCTTTTTACTGATGGATCCGTGATGAATTTGTTTTGAGCCGGGTTATTAGTATTCTTAGCCCCTGAATGATAAGCATTCTGTCATTTTGGCCCGTAAAATTTTAATTTTAGCAGAACTTTAAGCCTTGTTCGTTTTGCCGATTCGAGTTTTCAATTTTAGTTGAGAAGTGATTTTATGTGAGAGAAAGCATTACAACACAAAAAGTTGAATTTGAATTTTTATAAGAGAAAACACTGTAGTAAAAACTTGAGTTGTGATTCGAATCGGTAAAATGAATGAGACTTTAATATTTTGGCAGTTTAGTCCTCACACTACAATTGATGAAGGATTTCTGAAATTTAGCAGAGGTGATCCCATGTTCATTGCATGATAACATGAAATTTCACGGAAATAGTTACAATACGTATAAAATACTGTCTTATTATTGTTAAAAACCCAACTCTCGAATGTAACAATTTCTTTAAATTTTTCAGTTATTATGTGATAGGAACGTAATTATATTTAATAAATTTTGAAAATTTTTTATTAATTTTAATGTTGGTGACTGAAATTGCCAATGAACAAAAGTTTAAGGAATTTGTCCAAAATTCATAACTGGAGTGACAAAATAGTTATAATTCACGAACTAACAATGCTAACAACCCTTTCGAGCTTCTTCTGATGAAAAACTTTTTGTTGAATGCACTCATACAGATGATCTGATATCGTACTCTTCTTTTGTTTCCTTAATTTCAATTTTTGGGAGAATTTTCTCTGCTTTGGTGTTTGGCTTCTGATTTTTATCCTTTTTTATTGTATTTTTTGTCAATGCTTGTAACTTACTCACAACTAGAGTTGCAAGTTTGGACTGATTAAAGGTCAGCCACTGTTAGTTTGAACCCGAATTGGCCCGAACCTCCGAGTCAAGGTTTTGACCCCGAAAGAGCCAGCCTAAACACATTTTTTGAAAACTTTTTTTAAAAATGCTTTATAAAATTTCAGGCTGGTCCTAAACTCATGAGGCTTTAGGGCTATCCAGCTCAAACTTTCACCTCTATTTACAACCGATTTGAATCTAGACTTTAAAAGGAGATAAATATTCTTTTAAATTGTATGAGTCTTGATTTTTATTTTTTACTCTTGATTAATACATTTTTAACTAATATAATATTATTTAAAAGAGTATTAATTAAGAATAAAATATAAAAATCTAGACTCATAGACTTAATTTAAGTAATTTTCTTCCCAGTAAATGGGGTCATTAACTGGTCCCTAATTTTCTTTTTACTAGCAATCAGCCCGATATGCTTGTGACCAAAGCACCAATACAGATGGAATCATTTTGACTTATTTACAGCCCAAAACGGTGAGCAAAAAGTGTAAAAAAGGTGAAACGAATCAAAACAAAGTATGTTGATCTACATAACTATCAACAGAAGCTTTAATAATTGGGGAAAAAGTGGCGAAGGCCCAAACCATTTCAGCGTTTTCCAACATTAATCCATTAAATCAGAAATTTGAACAAACCCTAATCTTAACTTTAACACAAACTTTTAATCACTCAAAAATGTTTTGCAGCTTAATCCTGGAAAAGCAAATATAAAACTACCTAAACGTTTGTTTCACCTAGAAACTCATCCTCATATAGACAGAACATTCTCTTTTCAATTTTTCTGAAGAATAACATTTATTCAACCCGACTCAAAAATAAAATATTATTCGACCTTTCTGGTTTTGCTTAAGGATTAGTCCAATAAGTAGGCACGAGAAACTCGCATCCATTAATCTATCTATCCTTTTATTTAATACAACACGAAATTAAATCTATAACTTCCCTCCAATCCCCCGGTATCACTAGACTAAGCAGTCTTAGGCTTAATCTATCTATCCTTTAGTTACCTTATAAATGTTTAATGGAATTTTTTTTTTCCTCTTGCAGCCTATTTTTCCAGCAATGCATTGAGGGACACGAGTTCTTTAGTGAAGAGTTAAGAAAATAAAGGAAGGATTTTATAAAGGAAAATGGAATTTTAGGTTGTTTGGTAGAGAGGAAATGAGGAAGGAAAATGAAAATTCATGGGGGCCACCAATTCTTAATCTTCCAACTTTGGGAAGAAAAGATTAGGGAAAAAGTTTGATAAAAAATGAGATGTAAAATAACAATTTTAATATTCACCATTCATTATATTTTTATTTGTATTGAGATATTTTTGTAAAATGCTTAAATTTGACATTTTCTTTCTCTTCTACCAAACAACATGAGAGAAAACTATTTTACTTTCTTTACTTAGATATTTTATTTCTCTTGCATTCCTTTTTTCTATCCATCTCACCAAACATAGCATTAACGATGACACTATCGATTGCTACATAATTTCATTACATCTTGACCATCATATCATGAGACGACGCAGTACTAACAACGACAAGTATTTTGTTGTCGTTAAATTCTAACTTTTAATGACGATAAATTGTGTCATTAAAATTTCAGAGATAAGAGCCCAGGCTTTTGTAGTGCCCTTATGAGTTTAAATTTACTCGTCAACTATGTTGCGTAATGTCTCATAACATATGCGATAAATGAAATCAATAGTATCATAATTTGAATGAGAAAAGAGATAAATACTCTATAGAGTATAATATGGGTCTTCATTTTTACTTTTTAATCTTGATTATTATCTTTTTTAGTTAAATAACTATATTAATTAAAAAAGTATTAATCATTTGAATGAGAAAAGAGATAAATACTCTATAGTATATATGGGTCTTCATTTTTACTTTTTAATCTTGATTATTATCTTTTTTAGTTAAATAACTATATTAATTAAAAAAGTATTAATCAAGAGTAAGATGTAAAAAATTTATACCTGTGCATTGTGAAAGTAACTTCAACCATTTTCTCTAACTAACTTCTCTTTGAAACATCAATTCAAGTGTAATTAATATGGTCAAAGTGCATGTCGAGCAAACAAATATGGTCAAAGGGCATGTAAATTTTAAAGGAAAGGAATTAAAAGAACTTTCGTTTCTTAATTAAAATGAGATAAATGGTTAAAGTCATAAACAACAAAGTGACATAACAAAACGAGATAATGCTACATTTCCATTTCGGATTTATTACTCATCCCCTTGAATTTCCTGTGACTTAGCATTTTTGTTCTTGAACTTTTCTTTAAAACTTTCGTCATTGAGTTACAAAAATATAGTCGCACTTAGTTTCAATTCTTAACAATATTAAATTTTGGACCAAATAACAATAATTTTTCAGCTCTTCGATTTACCCCTCGAATAATTTGTTATAGTCGTAGACTTTTTTGGCAATTTAGCCCCGAAATTAGTCATAGAATTATCTAATCCGTTAACGAGTAAGCCCCGTTCATTTCACCGATTCGAGTTTAGAATTCGAGTTTTGCTACAGTAAAAAGCTCTCAGAAACAGTCACATCTAACTTTTTTACTACAGTAAAAAGCTCTCACACAAAATCACATCTCAACTCAAATTACAAACTCGAATCAGCGAAGTGAACGGGCCTATTCTTTCAAAACTCAGAGCTTTTAGATTGCCAATAAACGATATTAAGAGATGAAAGTGATAAATCATGAAAAGCTTAGGGACAGAAGTGCTAAAACCCATTTTTTATTGAAAAGTTCAACATAACGTATGACAATCAGCGGAAATTAAAAACTCAAATTGGTGAAATGAACGATGCCTAAAAATTAATTTCTTTGAGTTGATTTCTCAGTTACAAAATGACAATATTAACCTTAAAAGTAAGAAATGAACATTTTTAATTTGCTACTTGCAAATAATAGTAATAGAAATAACCGTATCCAGTACTATCTACAATATTAATGTTGCACCATGGCAAAAGAAATGTTAAACCACGACCAAAGTTCTTACTGGACTGGATGAAGCAATGATCTACACCACAAGATATGTCGAATGACCGGATGAAGGATAGGCTACCTCAAGGAGAAGCCAAGAATATTCTACAGAAATCCCAGAAATCGCAGGAAAAGTAACCGACATCAATAATTTGAATGCAAATATAAATCTCAAAGAATTATTTAGAGAAAATCATGGGATAATGATAACAAAAACCCAGGACAAATTTTGTCTCCTGATAGTCTTATTTGAATTTTGTAGCAAGAAGAGGAGCCTATAAATAAAGAGGAATCCTCTCTTTAAAGTCCAAGACTCATCTATTTTAAGGAGTATTTACTTCCTTTTCTCTTATTTACTAGCTATTATTATTACTATCTTTTTTTGACAGTTTTCACTAGCTATTAATTATTAGCTAACACAAGACAACTTAAACTCAAATAACCTTATTTTTTTTCCCCTTCTTTTGCTTTTGCCTTTTCTTTTGCTATTACCGGCCCTTTTACAAACTATACGTTAATACTAATACTAATTTCCCTTATCAAATAAAAAAAAAAGTGAGAAAAAGAAACTAATTTCCGAAACATGATGAAATGTCTAAAATGTCTTATTGAAGAAAAGAAGAGAAGACTCGTATATATTTAGTGCCGCGTTCATGGACGTACCGCTCAGCATGCAAACCGGACCGAAATGTAAGCCTACTCCTCTATTCTTAATAAATCCCCCCTCAACCCCTCTACTCTCTCTCTCTCTCTCTCTCTCTCTCTCTCTCTCTCTCTCTCTCTCTCTCTCTCTCTCTCTCTCTCTCTCTCTCTCTCTAAATCTGCAAGACCCTTTTCTCCGAAGAGAAAAAAAACAGAAGAGAACAAGGCAGGAGAGCAATCCAGGACAAGATAAGATTCTTAAATCCTTCTCTCTCTGGGTCTCTCTCTCTCTCTCTCTCTCTCTCTCTCTCTCTCCCTCCCTCCCTCTCTCTCTCTCTCTCTCTCTCTCTCTTTCTTCCATTATCTGAGTCCCTTGGGAGAGGAGAAGAGAACTCCTCCAAATTGTAGCTTTAGCAAATTTGTTTGTAATTTTGTCCAGTTCATCCTATTTTCCAAATTCCAACCTCTCCTCATTTACAACCTTTTACCAATATCTCACACAATAATATATATACCAAAACACAGACACACACACATACATATATATTATATATATATATATATATCCATAATATACAGTAATTCTGCTATCATGGCGAAGATGATGATCAATCACAACAGCAACGGAACCGAAACCGAGGAAAGACGAGTCACGGCGGGGGGAGAGAACAAAGGTGGGACACGTGGGCTGAAGAAGGGGCCGTGGACGGCGGCGGAGGACGCGATTCTTGTGGAGTACGTGAAGAAGAGAGGGGAAGGCAACTGGAACGCCGTCCAGAAAAACGTCGGCCTCGCCAGGTGCGGCAAGAGCTGCCGCCTCCGCTGGGCCAACCATCTCAGGCCCAATCTCAAGAAAGGTGCATTCTCTCACCAGGAAGAGAGAATCATCATCGAACTTCACGCTAAGCTCGGCAACAAATGGGCTCGCATGGCTTCTCAGGTAATAATAACTCATCTTTCTCTTCTAGGCTCTTATTACGAGGTTACTTTATTATTAATTTGCAGTCACTTTTTTTATTTATCTTTTTGTTGGGTTCTTTCTTCTTCAACAACCAGTTAAGTATACTGTTTTTTTCTTCTTCTTTTTGCTTTTTTTTTTGGTACAAGGAATTTCGATATGCATGCAGAGCCGGTGTTCTGTAAAGGGCTAGGCTGGGAATATTTGCCCGTCGTTTTCATATGTTCGGCTCTTTGACTGTATTGTTCATGATTCTCATTTCATTTGTTTCTAAACCCCGTACTCTTTTCAAAAGAGAATTTGTGCGTTTGTTTTATGCTTTTTTGATTTTCCTTCTGATTGACACCCATCTGCCACTTTTTTTTCCATTTTTTTTTTATTTTTGCTTTTCTTCGTCTATCAGTTTCTCTTTTTTAAATTTTTGTTCATTCTTCATTTCTTCTTCTCTTATTGGTCTTCTTTGAGACTTTGACCAATCTTTCTTGACGTGACTTTAGTTGTTCGTTCCATTTCTAGCACAAAATTCCATTCTGGCCTTTTCTCTCTCTTTCTTCTAATTTCTATAAAACTATCTTGTTTGATACTTTGTCCTTTAGTTTAATTTCGTTTAATTTGCTAATTGGACTTAATTAATGAGTTTAAGTTTAAGACCAAGTTGCTACGAAAAAAAATAAAAAAGAATGATCAAATTGAGAGCTATAATTCCACTCAAGATTTACAAAATAGGGCAGAAATAAAATTTCGATCAATAGTCTTCTTTAGACAATTATATGATTATGATAGGCCACAAATGGAGTTTTGTTGCTATTGTGTGTGTATATATGTAAAATATATAAGTATTGTGTGAATTCATTATTCATGCACACTATAACTCCATTATTGTCTCATACATAGGCCTCATAGAATTGAACTATGCTCCAACTAGTTAAATTTAGGCTTCGTTCACTTCACCGATTCGAGTTTAGAATTTGAGTTTTGCTACAGTAAAAAGTTCTCAGAAACAGTCACATCTAATTTTTTTGCTACAGTAAAAAGCTCTCACATAAAATCAAATATCAACTCTAATTACAAACTCGAATCAGCGAAGTGAACGAGCCATTAATTGTATAACGCATTTTGTGAGATGAAAAGTCAAAAAAAAAGATTTGGAGGATTGGAATTTTGTGTTATTGGGTCCCAATTCACTAAAGCATTTCAAGGTACAACTAGGATAGGAATCCTCCTACCACGGTTCTGAAATAGTTAATATACTTTTGTCTTTTTATTAACAAATCTCCCCCCAATTTTAAATTTTTGACAAAAGTGGGGTGATGAATCCCATCCCTAATGACCTCATTTCAAGCTCACATATATTCCCTTCTCTTTCGCTGCCCCCCCCATTATTTCGCTCTTCTCTGGGACCCACACTGACCCTCTTGCGTTTTCATGCTCAACTCCCTCATCTTTAACAACCATCTGTTTTTGTCTTTCTCCTAATTTTTTTACCTCTTTTTACCAGTTACCAGGAAGAACTGACAACGAGATCAAAAATTATTGGAACACAAGAATGAAGAGACGCCAAAGAGCCGGTCTCCCTCTATACCCTCAAGAACTACACCAACAACATCAACAACCACCACAACAAGTCCAAGAACAAGACCAAATTGCACATAATGCCCATTCTTCATCTTCTAATTCATTTTCGTCCCTCCTTTCACAAAATAAAGCCAATCTCTCTCTCTACAACAACTTTTCCCACCACGCAATAAACCAGATCAAGTATAACGTCACTGGTGGTGGTAGTTTCGGTTTGCCCATTAATTCCCGGGTTTCTCACTTGAGCCAAAATGTCGCCCATGCCCTCCCCATCATCCCCTCTTTTCAATACAACCCCGGGGGCACTTTCGGTACTTTGAGTTCGATGTTGACTTGGCCTCCATATGATCCAGTGGGCCGATTGATGGTACCAGAGCTCCCTTCGACCCAAACGCCTGCGTCGTCGGATGCGAGCGGTGTCGGAGGCGATCAGGGCTTGATGGGCCGGGCCGAGATAAGCAGCAGTACTACGGCCCATGATCAGTGCTACGACTTTGTGTCTCATGAGTCAAGATTAGGGAATAGCGGGCTGTTGGATGATTTGTTGGTGGAAGCACGGACTTTGTCTCGCAACGACAGAGCGAAGCAACGAAACGGCGTGACGTATGACGAGGAGGAGGAGGAGGAGAAGGGGAAAAGCGTTGCTGGGGAAGAGTCCGTGGACGAAGATGGCGACGGCTTTCCGTCGGAATCGGTTTTGAAGAACAGCGGCGAGAGCATTACTACTGGTGGTGATGATGAAAACTGGACGGAGAATTTTAGCTCTTGTGATCAGTCATCAACTGGTACGTAACTATTTTTTAATGCTAAACATGTATGTAACAATCATCATGTTTTAGTTTCATGTCTAATAATTTGTACATTTTTTTTCGGCCAGTTTACTTTGTGTTGTGTATCATGTTTACTTCTTGTTTTGTTTAATAAATTGAATAGAGAACATAGTTTGAGAAGAATTTTACTTGTGCAACATTGTTAAAATGTGTTCCATTCTCTAATGCAGTAATGCTAATTATTCTCTTTTTGCGGGGCAGGAAATGTGACATGACTTAGTGGTCAAATTTTGGCAAAAACAACTCACAATTCAAATAATCAAGACAATTTTATTGTTACTACTCATCTTAGTACTTGCACTTATAATTAGTAGCCTTTCTCTCCTAGTATAACATTTGGTTGGCACAGGAATAGAGCCAAGTGAGGATCCATTGGATGTTAGTTCGATGGACGATGACTTGATGAGCCTGCTCAACAATTTTCCGACATCAATGCCGGTCCCCGACTGGTACCCTGGAGGCGGCGGCAATCTCTCTGACAGGGAAACATCTGCTGTGACTAGTGGCGTTGCGAGGCACGACGACGTCGTTCTTCCTCAAAATGCTTCACCGATACGAGCAGATAAACCTGACCAAAGCTTGAAGTACTCCTGCTACTGGAACAACATGCCCGGCATATGTTGAGATAATACCGGTAAAGAATGATTGAAAGAGTAGGAACATTAGTATTAATATGGCTAGAAGAATTAGAGACTAATCGCTAGTGTTTTATTTGCCTTTTTTTTTTTAATCATTTCAGTTAGGTTTTATTAGGGTACTCTAATAAATGTTCTAGCGCAGTGATTAATTAAAGAAAAAGAAAACTTAATAGATGTGATGATGAAGGATACCTACATTTTCTTTTTCTCATGTTGTACTTCAGTGTAACAAGAGAACACTAGGTCGTAATTCGCTGGTGTTTTGTGTATGTACAATTCTATGTATCATCATCAATATTATATAGTTTAACCTAGCTTTCAATTATTTTCTATAGTCAAGTAGTACATCCTTCATTTCAGATTTTAAATTCCAAAGAGGTTACACCAATCAAGAGCACAAATGAAAAAGGAAAATAAAAGAAAAATCCCAACCAGAGATGATCGCCAAGCCTTATTTGATAATTAAGAATTTTTTAGGTTTACCAAATGTAAACTAGTATATTGAGCACACTTGACTTAGGAGGACTAGAATTCTTGTATAAGAAGTATATGAAACTCCTGAATTGATGCTTACATCTGGATATTAAAAGTAGATAAAGTTGCAAAATTTATATATAGGAGGGTCATCTTTCAATTATAAAGCACTGGCTTTCGTCTATAATATTATTGGTTTTTTTTTTATAGTACTATAATATTATTGGTTGTGAAAACGTCTCTCTCCCAAAATTTACATGTTGTCAGAAAAGGGAAAAAGAAGAAAAAAAAAAAAAAAAAAAAAAGGTTCAAGCATACCATCTTTTCCCTAATCATCGCTAAGTACAGTCCCAAATGTCAAATGTTTCCAAATAATAATGAAATATATTCCTTTTAAACGTGAGATGAGAGTCATGAGACGAACATTTATGCACTTCACCAGACAAGCATGTGCATGTTTCACGTCTGGGTCTTTTGGCGTCTTATGCTCATTAATCATTTTTGGCAATGACTTTGGGTCTACATAATTTCACGCACCAACATTTATTATATTTGGAATCATGTTTGCGCAGAAATATTTAAGAAAAAGGAAAATACTATGGGAACTTTTATGGTAGAACATACATTTTTAGTCAATCGATATAAGATTTGTTTTTAACTGTTTGTTTAGTTTTTTAAAGATTAAATTTGTAGATGCTCGCATTAAAAATTTACTACTCTTATTCTAAATTAAAGCGTTGAAAAACTAATCCAATTATTAAAAATCACTTTTTTCTATTGAATGAGTAAAATAGTCTTCTCCATTAAAAAAAGAAAATGAGATAAATACCCCTTAGAGTGTATGAGTTTAGATTTTTATTCTTTACTCTGGATTAATATTCTTTTTAGTCAAATAACTATATGAATCATTAAAGGGTATTAATCTAAAGAAAGTGGTAAAAATTCATACGTGTACACTTTAAAAGTAAGTTGAACGATTTTCTCCAAATTGTATAATAAAATTCACTTATGGGCTTTCTTTAAAGATCATTGGAACATTTTGAGGGCATTTCGTAGGTATAGGTTAATTGCGTGAGGATATTATGGGGAACATAGGGATCGCATGAGTAAAAGAGTGTTGTCCATATACTTTTCATGCAGTTCATGCACTCAGGCACTTCCCACACTACCCTGTTTCAAGCCATTTAATCCTCCACTACAAACCTTGTGCACGCTTGTTAATTTTATTGTTCTTATGAAAAAAGCTAGTTATCATCAAAAGATTATCTCTATTAATTTTTTAATTAGATAAAAATTATTATCAGAATTTGTGGCTGATTAGAAAAATGTAAGTGATTATCACTGATAATAACACATAGCACTGCCATGTTATTTTCTTTTGTGTCACTACTATAGTAGTAATTACCACAATGATTAT